AAGATTACGATTTTTGTCTTGACATGAATCCAAATCATAGTCCAATGCATGCCAAGCTCAGTGTGCAAAAGACATACACGCCCTCCTCATCTGCATCGTTAAAAAAGACAAAAATAGCCCTAGAAAGCTTTGTCAGTCTCGTGTAACAAACACAGCCACAAAAAAGTCATGACCAACACTAGCATAACAAACGGGCCTAGAAGGCCCAATATGTTACCAAACCACATTTCCACTTGCTAACTTAAAAATCTTGTTGGATACCAGAAAAGATGGGAACTTATTCAATACCACAAGTGCAGCTCCACTATCTCCACCTACATCCCCGACCCCACTGACGCCCCCAGGCACCACCGGAACACCTTTTTTCCCATCACCTCGACAGACACCCGGGAAACAATCGCCACCTGGCAAACAAACACCATCACAACAAGCGGATGGTCCATCGTCAAATCAAGGGTCCAAATCTAGCTCCACAAATAAGTCATGGAGTGCTAAAAAGAAAGTTTGGGTGTCAATTGCATCGATATTTGGTTTCATAGTTTTGGGATTAATCTGTCTGCTATTTATACCACCCTGCTTTAGAAGAAGACGACTTCCCGGTTTGACAAACAAGCGACATGAGATCGCTCCTTATAATCGTGAGAGTCATATGGAGAGTGGGTCCTTGGCTCAACCACCCAATCAAGTTGATAAAGGTAAGAAACTAAGAATGTGAGAAATAGCAATGTACTTTTTTTAGATATGTTATAGCATCCTACTTTCATTTCTTTCTATCATAGCTTTTTACTTTTGTTTTTTTTCTTTTCTTGTTAAAGCTTGTATTCTAATTTTTTTTTTCCTATTAGAACATTTATACTTTTAAAAGTCTAGGGGATTATAAAGGGTTAATCTCATAAAAAACTTTATATTTTGCTTTTTTTTTCTCGGATTAAACCTCAAATTTATTTTTTGCCTGAAAAGACCTTGTATTTTTTTCATTTTTTCCGATCGGCCCTTCTAGTCATTTTTTTCCAAAAAAAATTGTAAAATGTGAGGGTTTTTTTCGAGAAAAACTAAAAAAGTTGCAAGTTGATTTGGAAGCATTAAGAAGGTTGAGGGTTTTTTTGTGGAAAAAAAATACAAAGTCAAGGGCTTTTTCGGAAAAAATAAAAAAATACAAGGTCTTATTCAAGTAAAAAAATAAACTTGAGGTTTAATCCTGAAAAAAACACAAAATATAAGGTTTTTTTTAAAGATTAACCCAAAATGTTGAGGGTTTATTTGGAAGTAGTTAGAAGGTTGAGGGTTTTTTTCGGAAAAAAAGACAAAGTGGAGGGTTTTTCAGGAAAAACTGAAAAAATACAAGGTCTTTTTCACGCAAAAAATAAAGTTGACATTTAATCCGTAAAAAAAACAAAATATAAGGTCTTTTATGAGATTAACCCTTTATAAAAGTGAAAAATGCTCTGTATTTGGATAATGTTGTGATAAGAAGAAATGAAAGTAGGATGCTATAATAAAGAAATCAATAAAATTACATAGTTGTTATCTGTTAATAATAGGGCCAAATGCAAGAAATAGCAATATAGTTTTATTTATCATTGTATTATAGCATCATACTCTACTTTTTTCTATTATGGCATTGTACTTTCATTTTTCTTTTTTTTTCATATTAAGACATTATAATCTAAAAGTTTCCCAATAATCACTTATGTGATATGAAAAAATGGAAGTATGTTACTAATTCTTGAAATTTAACCTTTAATATTATTCTCACTTGTTCTTTCAGCACCCCCAAAGAAGGCGGCAGTTCCACCACCAAAGGAGGAGCAACAACAACTGCTTTCACCACCACCACCACCACCACCACCACGAAGAACAGTTCCAATGCAAAGATTCACCGCCTTACCAAAGCAAGACAGTCAAGAGATAGATTTCACCAGATTTGATATAGACTCCATGCGACCACCACCACCACCACCACCTCCACCACCACCACCACCGCCAGTTTCATCATCAGAACCAATTCATCTACCTTTCGAGAAGGTTATTGTGGAGCCTATAGCGGTGGCTGCCGCCACATCAGCAAGAACTTCCACCAAACCTGTTGTGCCTCAAACATATGTGAGGTCTTATACGATTGCATCTCTTCAGCAATACACAAACAGTTTTTCTCAGGATAATCTTATTGGTGGAGGAATGTTGGGGAGTGTTTATAGGGCACAGCTTCCTGATGGAAAGGTATCAATTCTACATTCTACATACATAAATATATAATATATTCGATCATTAATATGCAATAAAGTAGTTTTTTATACAGAATATGCAATGTTTCATTCTCTATATATATGCTTATTTATGCAACAATGTTTCACTTATGTACTCTTATCTTTGAAAAATGTTTGTTTAGTTTCTTGCTGTGAAGAAATTGGACAAAAAGGTTATCAATCAGCAAAAAGAGGAGGATTTCATTGAGCTTGTTAATACTCTTGACAAAATTCGTCATGCAAATGTTGTTGAACTGATGGGGTATTGTTCAGAACATGGTCAAAGGCTATTAATTTATGAATATTGTAGTAGTGGGACCCTTCAAGATGCTCTACACTCTGATGATGATTACAAAAGAAAATTTTCATGGAAAACACGCATTCGAATGGCACTTGGAGCTGCAAGAGCCTTAGAGTAAGTCAAATACCCAAAAACACAACCCACTTTCAGAATTATTATTATATATATTAAAAACAAAAGTTGTTATGAATAGTAAAGTTCTAGGTTTTAAACTTTTGCCACTAAAGTTTTTATTTTGAATTTTGGCCACAATGCGTAGTTCTAGAGTTTTATATTTTTGCCCCAAAATTTTGTTGTTTTAGACTTTGGCCACAAATAATCTTAAAATTTAGCCGTCAACTTTTTTATTTTAGCCACAAAACTTTCTTATTTTGGCATATTTGATCTCTAAACTTTCGTAAGTTCTCACTTTCCGCCACTTTCCATCCCCTACTTTGTAAAATGTCACTTTTACCCCCTCAATTTTGAACACCGACATTTTTCATCTCTTTACCTTTTGTATCTTTGCATGTTTCACATGTTTGGTCCCTACGTAAAAAATAAATTACAAGAACAGTCCTTGTAATTTACATAATAGGTCCTTGTGCAGAATTATATTTACAGGAATGGTGCATATGGTAAAAAATTACATAAATGCCCATTCCTAATAACAAATTATAAAAATTGAGCTTTTGTCCCTACGTAGAAAATGAATTACAAAAATGGTCCTGTGAGTTTTTTTTTTTCCAAAAACAGTCCCTGTAATTTTGTAAGAAAAACCTTGTCTGTGTCCCCCGTGAAGTGGGGAGGGGGATTTTCTAGTTTTAACAATTTAGTATTTTACCTTTTTATCAAAACTGGAAAATAATTAAATGGCTAAATTCATAAAATAGTGAAAGTAAATACCACATCATATGGTTGAAACTTGAAAACTAAAATAAAGTAATAAACCTATCCCAGAGATAAAACGTTTTCTAGATTATTTCATTCATATGTATTTATTTATCTACAAAAAATAATTTTTATTTTTATTACTCATGGTTTAGGTATCTACATGAGTTCTGTGATCCACCTGTTATTCATAGAAACTTCAAGTCAGCCAATGTTCTTCTAGATGATGATCTTTCTGTACGTGTCTCTGATTGTGGTTTGGCTCCTTTAATAACCCCAGGCTCAGTTAATCAGGTAATAATAATTAATATTTTAACAATAATAATATTATTATAAATAAAAATATTATGTTTTTATCCACTTACAGTTGTCAGGAAACATTCAATCAGCCTTCAGTTATGGTGCCCCTGAATTCGAGTCAGGAATCTATACATCTATGAGTGATGTGTACAGTTTTGGGGTGGTGATGTTAGAACTTTTAACAGGCAGAAAATCTTACGATAGGTAAATAATATAATTTAAATGTTAAATGTTGTATTTAATTATTTATTATAATTTGTAGCATCCTAGTTTTGTTTCTTATTATTACAATATTGGATTTAGAAAATTCTACCAAATACAAAGCAATTTTTCCATGTTATAACTCATAAAAGACCTTATATTTTGTGTTTTTTTCGGATTAAACGTCAATTTTATTTTTTTGCCTGAAAAAGACCTTGTATTTTTTCATTTTTTCTGAAAAAAAACCCTCATCTTTGTATTTTTTCCGAGAAAACCCTCACAGTTTACAATTTTTTTTGGAAAAAAATGACTAAAAGGGCCAGATCGGAAAAATAAAAAAAATACAAGGTCTTTTTAAGGCAAATTTTTTTTTTGAGGTTTAATCCAGAAAAAACACAAAATATAAGGTCTTTTATGAGATTAACATTATTACAATATTTTACTTAGAAAATTCTACAAAATACAAAGCAATTTTTCGATGTTATAAGTTATAACTTATAATTGAGTAGAGTTTTCAAAGAACAGTGTCCTAATAATAAAGAAATTGAAATTACAATGCTTTAATTGGGTAGATGTTTTGAAGTATAATTTGTTGATAAGAAACAAAATGGAAGAAAAATAAAAATGAAAGTAGGTTGCTATATCTTGCATTTAGATTGGGTTAAATGCAAGAAATCACAACCTACTTTTTTTGTTTGTTTATTGTATGTTAAATAATTTAAAGTATTGTGCTATTATATAATAGTATAATAATACCCAACTAAATTCAAATATAAAGCAATTTTCACTAGTGTAATCAAGTAGATTCTTCAAAGTACAATGTCTTAATAGGAAAAAGAAATTGTAAGTGCAATGTTGTAATAGCATCATACTTTCATTTATTTGATGTGTTATAGTAAAAATGCTATAAATATAATAAACAAACACATGAAAGTACGTTGCTATTTCATTTATTAATTAAAAAAAAAAAATTTATCTATAGTGCGCGACATCGTGGGGAGCAGTTGTTGGTGAGATGGGCAGTAGGTCAACTGCATGATATTGATGCATTGTCAAGAATGGTTGACCCTTCTCTCAATGGTCAATATCCACCAAAATCATTATCACATTTTGCAGATATTATATCGCGTTGTGTTCAGGTTTGTTACTTTGTTATATAAATTATTATAAAGCAATTGTTGTTAATTAATTGATTCTATGTCCTGACAAAAAAAAAAAAAGCATATACGGAAAATTTATATAAAAATAAATAAGTAAAACGTATAATGTACTTTCACCGTTTTGTTGATATTGTTGTGATAATAATGATAAAAAAAAGTGTTGGTTGAATAGCTAAATCAAGTAACTGAGAAAAATAGTTCAATTATTTGAGAAAATGGTTAAGTAGATAAATGGGTTAATCTCAAAAAAGACTTTATATTTTGTGTTTTTTTTCTGATTAAACCTCAGATTTATTTTTGCCTGAAAAAGACCTTGTATTTTTTCATTTTTTCCGATCTAGCCCTTTTAGTCATTTTTTTTCCAAAAACAATTGTAAAATGTGAGGGTTTTTTCGAGAAAAACTAAAAAAGTTGAAGGTTTTTTTCGGAAAAAAATACAAAGTTGAGGGCTTTATAAGAAAAAATGAAAACATAAAAGGTCTTTTTCAGGCAAAAAATAAATTTGAGGTTTAATCCGGAAAAAACACAAAATATAAGGTCTTTTTTGAGATTAACCCTGGATAAATTCATAAAATTGTAAAAGTACATTTTTTTTTTTGTATATTTCCCAAATATTTCTTTGATATTTTACCTTTATAACTCCAAAATGCTTTTTCTTTATTTCTCTCTTTTTTTGCATAGAAAATTTGATAAATTTAATCTTGTTGGATATTAAAAATAAAAGATTTTTTTTTTTTTTTTTTTTTTTTTTTTCATATTTGAATTTGAAAAGTACTAGGTTAAATTTAGAGTAATTTAGGTTTTTACAAACAAAATATTGTTACTAGCAATTAAAACATGGTGTTACTTGTAAGTTGCTGACGTGGCAGATGCCACTTGATAAAAATTGCTGACTTGGAAAATGATTTTATTATATCTGCAGGCGGAGCCGGAGTTTAGGCCACCGATGTCGGAAGTGGTGCAGGATCTGATAAATATGATCAGGAGAGAGTCTTCTAATAGATCAGATGGGGATTGATTCATAATATAATAATAATATTAGGAATAGCTTGTGATGAGAAGTCAAAGATGGTCAAAGTCAAAGTCAAGGTCAAGGTCAAGGTCAAGGTCAAAGTCAATGTGCCAAGATTATAATTCTTGTGAAATTTTGAATGCACATGGCTAGGCTAACACAGTCTATTCTTGTACAAAAGGGGAATATGAAATATGTCTATAGGACAAAGCCAAATTTGATGGTTATTTTGTTTCAAGATTGAACAACCATTTTGGCATTTGGTGGTTGGTTTGGTTATATCCCAATTCTCATGGTCAAAATGGTAAATTTACAACTCCCATTTGATTATTCAAATGTAATTGTTGAATTTCATATATTGACAATGTATTGTTTGTGATTATTCAAATTTCATTTTGTTTGGTGGTTATTTTGTACTTTCCCCTTTTATTATATTGGTCATAGACAAGCATTTTATAGCATGGACTATTTAAATAAACTTTATAAAATTTTTTACAAAATATTTTTTAGAGTTTTAATTTGTGGAAAACGGTCATAAAGAAACATCAATAGTTCATAAAATTTCAAATTGAGTGTGGAATATGGGTCCAAACATTAATTCCAAAAATAGTTTAGTAAATCATGGAGAGTGCATCATAGTTATCAAAACAATGGTTTAAAGATAAACATATTGTTAACAATAACATAAGTGTTCTAAACATGCTTAAACCTCAGTCTTCAATGCTTCTAACAGTTACCATTAACCTATAAAAATTAATAGGGTGAGTTAGGTTATGAGCATTAACCTAGAAAAATTAATATGGTGAGTTTGGGTTATGAGGAGTGTAGTGTGTATAAACTTACATGCTTAGACATTATACATATTGTATATGACCGAACACCAAATTATATATAAATGAAAAATTAAATATTCTTTTATTTTTTTCTTCCTATTTATTCTCCTATCACTTTTAAATGATGACAAGTGTAATAAAAATTTATTATTTTTATTAAATATGACAAGTGTAATATAAATATAAAACCTATACCTCATAATAAAAAGACAAAAACAAATAAGTCATCAAAACTCAACTTGAGGGAAAAACATAATATAAGCCAAAAGTATATTGTCATTATCAACAATTCTCATATATACACACCAATAAGTAAAAAATAATGTAGAAAATCAATGTATGCAATGCAACTAAATGCTCAAAACCTAGCGGTATCAGGTGGTGCCCTCCCTCTTTGAGGTCGAGAGTTCAAATCCTGTCATGGACATAAGTGTAATTAAATGTTAGTTTAGAAGTAGATTATATTTTCCGGTTTAAAAAAAAAAACTAATTGCTCAAAACCTCAAATCCAAATCTCACAACAAAGTCCTCCCTTAGAGGACAAATATTCTTGTATCAGATTTCTTATTAACTAGTATCTATCTATAGGACTGCATTATTTCAAGAACCAAAAGATCTGCGATAATTTGAGAACTCGTAATCCACTCATCATTTTTCAAAACCAAGACCATAAATATTAACGAAAATACGAAATGCAGCGTTTAAACCATATATAGGTTCAGAAAAAAGTTTTGACGATTTTTTTTTTAAATCTTCTCATATATATATATATATATATATATATATATATATATATATATATATATATATAATCGTTAATTTTTTTTTGAACCTAGATATTGTATTTCGTTAATATTGGTGGTTTTGGTTTTGAAAAAATGATGGACAAGTTAAAAGTTGTCAGGTTCTCTCAAATATTTTGGTAAGATTATAAACATTGTAAATTTATAATGTTTGACAAAAAAAAATCATTTTGTTTAATCTTTTCTAAAGAAAATTATAAGATATGAGAAAAACATTTTACATATAAACTTGATGTAACATCTATGTTTAAAAAAAGCTATTTATAACTTTAATAAATTAATATTTATAACTTTAACAAATCCAATCACCAAACAGCTTGGGGTGAATTTGGGCTAACAGTGAAATCCCAAGTCATAGTAAATAGTATCATCCCACTGTAAACCTCCCCCGCCAAAACCTTTTGCTGTTCTCATATTGTTCTATACGCAAACGAAGAATCCAGATCGATATTTGATACCCTATAAGATTCAAACACCCCATATTCTTCAACTATTTCTTCAGCCTCAAAATTCCCAGATCTACACGTATTCAATTGTAGTATTTTCTACTTGTTTCCGTCTGATGGGTAGTCGTTACGATCCCAATCCATTCGAGGAAGAAGAACTCAACCCATTTGCGGTAATGCCCATACATCTATCTATCTCTTTTATCTAATTTATCAGCAATTGGGCGTTTTTGTGTTTGCTTTTCTTCTTCTGCTTCTTCTGGATGATGTGAAAATTCGAAGTGTATCATGATGGGTTTATGGATTCTGTGTTCAATTGCTGTCAGATCTGTGTCAATAAATATGTTAATCCTGTCTTCTCGGTTTTGACTTGAGATTGAGGGTATTCGATTGTCGGTGTTCTTCATCTGAATCGTTACTTAGATTTTTCAATGCGAAATTGTCAATTGTCTCGTTGGATTTGCTTATCTGTTACAATGCAGTACCCTTGATGATCAAATTGATCATTTGACCCCTAAATCATCAAATAATCAAGAGGAGAGGGTTACCCAAACACCATAGTCAGATAATCGCATTCTAGATGCACATTGAAAACCCCCCTAATTTATAGCTATAGTTCATTAGAAAGTTAATTATATTACTCATAACAGGGATACCTGTTTTTCTTCTTGATTCCTAATAAATGATAGCTCCATCTTTCTCCCTTAACACACAAAATCAATCTATTGTTTTTCACGTTTAAGCTTATGTTCATTGGAGTCATTTGATAGTTTGTATTCATTTCAATCCATTAAATTATGTAATTTATGAACTACTATATCAAACATGTAGTGCAAGGATTTGATACAACTGATGTGTTCATTATGTAATCTGTAGGCATCTAACAACTTGGTGATTTCCTTTAAAAAAACACTTGTTTCATGTACAATTTAATAATGTAGTAAACCTGCCTCTGATTATGACATTTAATGTATCTTTCTGTTTTTATATAATTCTTCCAGAATCAAAGCCCTCAAGGGAGTGCATCTGCTCAATCAAATTATGCTGGAGGTGCATTTTATATGCCAGTAAGATTCTTAACTCATTTTTAATTTGGATTTAGTTAAAAAAATATGGATTTCGATAATATTAAAATGAAATAAACATCATTTATCAAAGATAACACAATAAAGTATATGGAATATGAAGCTGTGGGAAAGTTTCTGGATAAATTATTTTCATTAAACATAACAGTATTTACTTTTTTTTCTTTCTTTTTTTCAATTATGCATTTATTAAAACTTTATTAATAATAATGAAATTATTAGGCTGCTGGAAGTGTTCCACCTGCAACCTCAAGACTATCACCACTTCCACCAGAGCCAGCTGGCTATGACCGTGGTGCCACCATTAATATCCCTCTTGATCAGGTAAGATTTTTTATTTTTGAATTTTTTTTAATTGATTGTAAATATTAAATAAGAGTATTTTGATTTTTTTTTATTTTACTTTTGGTGGATGCAGGATTTCAGAAGTAAGGAGAAGGAACTAAAAGCTAAAGAGGCTGAACTGAAAAGGAGAGAACAGGTGCTTTTTTTAAATCCTTTTGAGAATTCATATCTATTATTATAATTTATATATTAGTTAATAAGATTATATCTGGTTAAAAGTTTTTTTTTTTTTTGGTAAATACAGAGTCATTGTACTTTTAAAAGTTTTATGTTCTGTTTACATTTATTTGTCTTTATGCAGGAATTAAAGAGGAAGGAGGATGCTATTGCACGAAGTAATATTTTTAATTTATAAAGATCTTTTTTATTTTGTTTATTTCTGTAATTTTGTAACATACATAATAAAACATATTTTTTTGCAGCTGGAATTGTTCTTGAGGAAAAAAACTGGCCACCATTTTTGCCTATTATTCATCATGACATTCCAAATGAAATTCCTATTCATCTCCAAAAAATACAGTATGTTGCATTCTCAACTTTTCTAGGTATGTATTCTTTCTTCAAGTATTTTTTATTTTAATAAACAATATATTTAGACACAAGGGTAAAATGGTCATTTGCTGATGCTCTCATCCATACATACAGACACATTTATCCATTCAGGACTTAATAAATAATAATTCTAATAATAATAAAGAATATGACCTTTACTTGAGTGCTGTTTGGGTAAATGGAAGGAAAAAAATAAAGGGTTAATCTCATAAAAACTTTATATTCTGTGTTTTTTTTTCCCGAAAAAGACCTTGTATTTTTTCATTTTTTCCAATCTGGCTCTTTTACTCATTTTTTTCCAAAAAGTTGTAAAATGTGAGGGTTTTTTTGAAAAAACTAAAAAAGTTGAGGGTTTATTTGGAAGCATTTAGAAGGTTGAGGGTTTTTTTCGGAAACAACTACAAAGTTGAGGGCTTTTTTGGAAAAAATTAAAAAATACAAGGTCTTTTTCAGGCAAAAAAATAAATTTGAGGTTTAATCTGGAAAAAACACAAAATATAAGGTCTTTTATGAGATTAACCCTTTTTAAAAAAAAAACTTGTAAAATGTGAGGGTTTTTTCAGGAAAAAATTAAAAAAGTTGACGTTTTTTTCAGGAACAGTTAAAAGGTTAAGGGTTTTTTCAGAAAAAAAGACAACGTTGAGGTTTTTTTCCGAAAAAATAAAAAAATACAAGGTGTTTTTCAGGAAAAAAATAAAGTTGAGGTTTAATCCGAAAAACAAGAAACAAAATATAAGGTGTTTTATGAGATTAACCCAAAAAGAATAAATAAGAACAAATTTGTAAAAGTCATGTCTTCATTAAGATTATTATTTAGATGAACTAAATTGAAGGAGCCATGACATGAGACTTTGAATATTTAATGAATTGAAGGAGCCATGACATGAGACTTTGAATATTTAATGAATTATGAAAAATACTTTGCACAGGTATTGTGCTGTGCCTAGTATGGAATCTTGTAGCAGTGACCATGGCCTGGATTAAAGGGGAAGGTTAGTTTAGTAATTTCACATCTTTTCATTTTGTTCATTGCTATAAATAAATTGCTACTATTACAACATTTCCTTTTTTTTACAGGTCCAACAATTTGGTTTCTTGCTATTATCTATTTAATAGCAGGAGTTCCTGGGGCTTATGTCATGTGGTATCGTCCTTTATATCGTGCTACAAGGTATAAATAATACTGTGAAATTACTAAACTAACCCTCAAATCATTCAGGAGCTTTTCGAAGCCCTGTTTAAGTGTTGTTTGAATAAAAGAGGTTTAAACAACATTTGTGAGAGAGCCAGGAAACATAGTGTTTTAACTTTTTACATATTTGCCCTCATTTACTCTGAGTGGTTGGTACTTTTTAATGAGGAGGGCATTTACGTCTTTTTCACACATGTTCCACCATTTTTGGGACAAAAATTGCAATTTTTATCTCATTCACATCAGTTTTAGTCTTCACCAATAAGCCAAATGTTGAATTTATCTTTGACAAAATTGCAAGAATAGTCCCTGTGGTATGTCAAAACTAGCAACTTTGGTCCAAAATGGGTTTGGCTCGCAAGGATGGTCCAATAGTTTCATTTTGTTGCGAGTTTAGTCCAATTTCCTATGAACTTTTTTATAATGACGGATTTGCCCCTTATTATTTTATTTTCCATTTTTTCTTTTATTACAACAATTAAAAAACAGTTAAAAATAAAACAAAAATAAAATCTCTCTCTCTCTCTCTCTCTCTCTCTCTCTCTCTTGTCCCTGTTTCACAAACAAAGAATGGAGCACCAGTGGCTTTGACACCGGTGGTGTTGCTGTGGTGACCATCGTGAACATCCACCGCCTCTTCGCCTGTCACAGCACCACCACTGCCTTTCCCGACTTTCTCCCCCCCCCCCCCCCCCCTTTGAATCTACAACGATGACGAGAAAAGGAGACTCGTCGACTGCCAGCCTTGTTCCGCCCGTCCCAGTCGCTCAAACGCCACCTCTCACCACTGTACATGACCTCACCACCCTCATTACCTCTCTCCAGTCATACTGCACCGCTAAGGAGGAAACCCAGCTCCTCCCGTCGCTCTGCCACCCAAACAGCTTGCTGCCACTGCTGTTGTTGTGAGTTCCGGCCACCAAATGCTGCCACTCCCTCCGACCGCCAACTTCCTTTCTCTTCATTCTCGCCGGCAGGAAAGAAAAACAGGAGGCAACAAGTGTAGTGATTTATTTCAGATCCAAAATCAATGATGGGTTTTCGTTTCTCTTCGAATCGATGGTGGGTTTTCGTTTCAGGTAAGGTTTTGTGTGTGGATTTTG